CAATTCACATGACAAGGTGGACACCGCATATGGATATCTATCTATATTTCAAAGTTACGAGGTGTTTTCAGAAAATGTGGACTCTTCCTTTCGTCAAAAAGTCATCGTTCCTATGAAATCATTTCCAAAGCATCGTGTTTGTCATGAAAATTAATCCTTAGGCACTGAACACAGTCACCGTATAGTATTGCAATATAGAACTTTTCTTTCAAGTAGAACATGTTATATTCTTGAACTAGCTATAGGAAGGCCAATTCCAGTGCCTCGAGAATAATTTTCATCCCAAACTCAATGCTTCGATTATAATTGCACCAATGCATATAAATCACCAATAAGTTTGCAAGAAAGCTTGTTATCTAAAAACTGCAAGAGTTCATTTTTATAATTTGGCGAAAGAGTTCGAGTCCGAGGGAGGAGGGCTCTTTTACAAAATATGAAAATAAACTAATGCAATTTGTATATGATAACACGCTTGGATGCAAAATTGTCTGGTCATTTTTATGCACGAATGTAATTCATTGGAATATTTCACGAAGTAAGGAATTCTGTCTGTTGGTTTTAGTATATTTTGGTTCACTTTCATTCGTACTTTCCTAGATAGATTGTACGAAGCACTCACATTATTATCACTTTTTGGAGTCCATCTGACATTTATTTGTATTGTTTACTGGCGTCTAGCGACATGACTTTATAAATATGTTGTTATGGCGACGGGATCTCTTCGCAGTGCAATCTTCGTTCTGCGTGCAATTACCGATATATGAGGGAAATACTCATAAGATCAGACACTTATTGCCGAAACAATATCTGTAGCCCTTTTTCAAAAATGAAACGAAGACAGATATCCTCCAAATTGGCCCTCCCTGTACACAAACAGATCGAAAAGTTGTAGCTGGAGTATTCAGCAAAGAACGGAGACGGAAATCTCACTCAATCTCGGCAAGTATACCTATGCTTCAATCTTTCCAGCGGAAATCATTGCAATTGGAATGTGTGTAAGAGAGTTGACTAATAGACCTCTAGTAAATAAAAACATCAGTGTTATATCAGAGTCAGACTGCTCTTAAAGCACTGAGCTCCAGCAAGATGAATTCAAATCTTGTGGGTACTCGGACACCAGGGGGTGAAGGGCAACGAGAAAGCCGTTACCCTCGTCAAACAGGAAACCAAATCTGTATCCATTGGACAAAAATCATTCTTTGGAGTCACCACGAGTGCGGCGGTTAACCAAACACAACTGGGATTGCGAATATTTCACCTGATTCTTTCACTTTTCACACATTCTAGGTAGACGCTTGGAGTTTCTGATTCACTACATAATTCCAATCACTGCGGCGATAATTTCATCATGGTAATAATGAGGCACTCTCAGGTTCATTTGTGTACTTCAAATTCCTACCTAACGTTAGCATGCGCCCACTCTTGGCCGGCAGAGGAACATGACTCATTCCAATGCGGAATAAATAACTCATCATCTCATCATATCTTCTAGTAACTCATCAGGCGCCAGAAGATCTAAAGGTATTAACAACAAAATGATCGACCTAGAATCGACCCATATTTGGGGAATCTACGTTCAACACTATATAGGCCCACCCTGTGGATAGTCAAGAAAATGAAAGTAATTTTACATTCCACTTCACCACGCCTGCGTTCCAGATCGCCTTTTTACCAATGTATAAGGAATCCAAGTCCTTAGAGGTGATTTATGGTTCCCACACATGCAAATAACGCCACAATGTTATTTCAGATGGATGTTAACATTGTTTTAGTGTGCACCATGAAAGGAGATTTGCATAAAATATGCAGAGAATGGATTCAACAGGTGCGGATGGATGGTGTGCGGTGCGGTGCGGAGATGGTGAAATATGACCAGCATTACCAGTGGTAGGGCGACTTACATTTTCACGAATAGGTATATCCTTAGATCATAGACAGACTGGATGCCCCAGATCATATACTAAAGGACAGCATTTGTTACTACATAGAACATAAAGACCGTACGGGACGGGTTCGTGATCAGAAATTTGCTTAGGAGGATGTGATGTCAGTAGCGTACCATTCTCGAGGGATAGTTTTAGGAATAAAATCACTATTTTTCAGTCAATTCTGATAAACTGTCAGTTATGAATCTCACGTAGTGCAATACATTGAAAAAGAAAATAGTGAGTAAAATAGGCTTTATAGACCTTAGTGTGTAAGGAAGAGCTCGAGCAATAGCGAGGTTTACCAACACGCCTAGGTCCATAAAAGCAAAAGCAACCAATGGATTTGATTTTTCATTGTTATCACTTTATCTCTCAAGCGCGATCAAAATACATCATGGTTGCAGTGAGCCTGTAATCAATATGGAATCAGCATCACCATGGTAACACAGAGAACATTCTGATTTCAATTATATCATTTTGCATCTCATAAATATCAAGAGAACTCTAATATTAGATATAAAACCATAACAATAATAAGTAATTAATCCATAAATGTCCTGAATTTTCATGAATGCTAATTACGAGTTACATAGACGATATAGGTATGTATATATATCGAAAGTCGGAAGATCGTAGTTGATGGATTCCCGACTCTCAATATGCCTACACCTACCCATTGTATAGATAAGTCGTGATGAATCATGCTCTATCAATAGGACCTTCATATTTCAATCATTTTCCATTGAAAAAAATAATTGGGAGATAGATTTCCACTAATATGAGAATGAAATACACGTTGCTCAACAACCTACTCTCATTCACTTGTGTATTAGTGACTCAATCACTTGTCATTTAGTGACTCATTCACCTTGTCATCATTGACTCAGTCACGTGTCATCATTAGCTACCAAACTGTATACAGATGCTAGGATATGAATGACCACCGTGTACGATGGTCGCGTGAAGCGCATACGACCGTACCCGAATGATATCGAAGATGTCTGAATGAAGAAAAGATTTATAACTACAGGTGAGCTGTCACCTACCCCAATCGACTTGGTGAATTGTCTTGAGCGATGAGCTCACTCACAGCAAGTGATTTTTTCCCAGAAAAATGATTTAATGATAGTAGGTACTCGTATACTCAGCAGTAGTTTAGTGTTCACTCATGATTAGCGAACTCAGTATAAATATCTATTTGGTGAATACCAATGAGTGTCCTAATCAATTACAGCAGAAAGATCATTTCAGGAATATGGTGTTGTCTACTTCAACTATACCCCATTTGCCTATCGTAGGTGAACATTTTCTAGTCACAATCGACTTTTTTTCAAGCAAACGATTACATGGTCGAGTTTTGTCAGTGCGCAAAACTGGGCAGTAAATTGTTACTTTACGTCCCGTCGTGTTATTCATCGAATATCAAAATTTCAATTTGAATTTGCATCTCATTTTTTTACAAAAATAATCATCTGAATTTCAAATTTCATCAGTCTAATTACGAAACATCAATAGGTACCTGACTCCTTATTGTAGGAAATTACTCACCACCTGTTACCTCTCAAATCTAAATTTAGCAGATATAAACATGGCACAAAGATCATCCAAATTTGTTTTGTTGCTCAGATGAATCAGTATTCTGTGTACTTTCTTTGAGTTCTCGGATCAGGTTGAATACATGTCACTCTCATTCAAAGATATCCTGGTGATCTCAATTTCTTCAATAGATTGGGCAGAAAGTATGTGACCATTATTTAATCATTATCCACCTCAATGTTCACATTACAAGAAAATACCCATACAAAAATAAAAAAGCATTTGTGTGGTGAAAATCGCGGGATTCAAGAGTGAATATGACAGTCGAAAGACTCCATGTGAAGTCGGTTCCGATATGGATATCGGATAGGTGCAAGAACGCGGTTTATAAACAAACAATCATGGAATAAGTCTGCTCTATAGTGCTCCATGCATATTATGTAACCGAACGGAAATGGAACGGAACAAATCAGTTTAATGCGGCATCTAGTCTGTCTATGATCTAAGGGTTAATCATAGATTCACAGCCAAAATATGGCTGTTATAAAATTGATGCAGATGTTTCAACTTGGCTTTTGTTTTCATTTGCCTTCAACTACAAATCAGTCTCACGTGACAAATAGAGTATAGGCATAGGTGTAGGTATTTATACCTCAGACGTACGAGAAGCCTAAATGTTGCCAGTGGCGGACCCATATTGGATAATTAATTTGGAAAGTAAATTACGAATATATATCCAACAGACATATGAAATAACACACTAAGTAACTATCAATATTTCGACGATGCTTGATGGAAGGTATAATTACCCCTTTTTTCCTTTCTTGGGCCCGCCACTAAGTCAATGTGTATCTAGCCTATTTTCTGTGAAGAAATCAAGGTGGAAAATTGATTGGTCTTGGTTCTTTAAAGTTCCTACATCCATATATTCCCATTTGGTGATGAATTGAATGGTCTCGATTTTTTAAGGTTGTTTCAATAATTTTCTCTTAATCACGCCAGTCAAATGAGATATTGAAATCGCGTAGGCACTCTAGTTTTGATTTTTTGGTATGTTTTTAGGGCTAGTAGTATAAACCCAAGTTTGCAGTTTCGAAAAACCTGTGCCCGCCTGCGTTTTCCGATATTGAATATGATAATAATTGTTTTTGTAGTAAAATGAATCTGCAATAATTCAAGCTACGACTCTGCACATTGAATAGTTTCCGAGACAAACTACTTCAACATTTTGCAAATGTTCCTAGAAAATATAAATTTCGGCTTCAGGGCAGTATATCCAAATTACAAATACCCACTCATCCTACCAAAGTAGCCGTGAAAATAAAGTTGTATTTAATCCTTATGACTTTTATCCGAGCACAAAACGAAGTCTGTTTTTCTGATAATTTTCTTGAAATCATAAAAAAACAAAATGGAGAATTTGATTTTTGAAATAATGTGCCTAAATACTACTAATTATAGTTTGTTGGCATAACATGAAAGAAATTTTTTCGAGGTTCCTGGTTGACCACGGTCGTAATCCTAGACTGAAGGAATTTACTGGTATACTGTGTACATCTCAGACTCATCTTCTGAAGGTGAAGGGTCGTTGGGGCCGTCTTCATCCTCCTTGATCGGGCATATAGCGACGTTGTGACAAGCCTTGCCAAAGCACGGACTGCACAAAGCACTCAATCCCAGCTCTCTGGTGACAGCAAGATCCGGTGCTTGGGACATGAATGAGAGCTATTCAAGAAGGATTTTTGGAACTGAATAGCATAATATTGTTCGTGGATCAAAACCATGGGAGCTCTTTGCACTGTGTGGCATCCTTCTCCACCTCAACCACTATTGCACTCGGTGGTATGTTCGATATGAAGAGATAGCAGCAGCCCCTCTGGTTGGGGGCAAACGTGCCAGGTGAAATTAGGCACTCCTCAGCTACATCTTCGGATAAAGTCTCGTGACCGAACTCGCGACTAACATATGGAAAAAGAAACACTGTGGCCAAGTCTATCAGGCTGTGTTTTTTTTTGTAAAACTATCATTTTTTTCCCTTGCCAAATGACAGAGTCCATTGAATGCGTGACGGGAGAGTTCGAATCCGAAAGGCAATTTCATTTTTTCTCGACTGAAAGAAATTGTGGAAATTTGAATGCAATTCGACTTAGACCTCCTACTGTTCCGAAAGTAAACAGTTCCCTTATATGTTCGATCCCAAGCTGAAGAGATGAACTCTCCAACCACGATCACCCTCACAAGGGTGGTTCGGAGGAATATGTCGAAGTCTGCCTCTTTTGTATTTCATGCAAGATAATTCATTCAAATTTATATTCGTAGCAGAGCGCTTTCAACTGATGAGTCATCATCAGTGCATACCTGGATGATTGATCTCTTTATGGAACTCTTCCTGTATTTTTCAGCCATGTCTACCATACTGTAGTCACATGAGTGAGATTGCACTGCCAGAACGAATTAATGTCAGAGAGACTTCAAAAAGTGAAAGAAATGTCGCGTTCTGGTAAGTGCTCCATACAATCTATAGAAAATGTCTTTATTCCTGAAATATTCTAATGAATTACATTCGTGCATAATGAAGACCAGATAAATTTGCATTCAAGCGTGTTATAAGATAACACGCATGCAAGTTGCATTCGTTTATTTCCATAGTTTAAAAAAGTGCCCTCCTCCCTTAGACTCGTGTTCTTTCGCCAAAATATGAAAGTGAACTGTTTCAATTTTCAAATAACACGCTTTCTTGCACAATCATCAATGATTTTCATGCACTCGTGCAATTATAACCGAAAAATTTCTCCATAAATATCAGCAATCATCTCCTTCAGACAAACTCTAGTTCGAGCAAATCCTCAGGCATCCAACTCTTGCTGAAGATTTGAATTCAGCAATGATTTGAGAATCATGAATGTATCTCATCTAAAACGTTCAGGATCGATACAGTATAGCGTATACGACTGATTGTGTTGAATGATCTACCCGTTAGTTAGATTAGATCTCTTAGGACTCAGGTGCAGAAAGTTACCTAGAAGAATAGGTATAAGGGAGAGCTACGCTCTTGGAAAGTATACCACAGTTTTCCAGGCCGAGGTATTTGCCGTTTTGGCCTTAGCAGAGAGACAAGAGATGAAAGAGGAGCCAGAGCAGAAGATTCACATCTGCTCGGATAGTCAGGCGACTCTCAGGGCTATCTGCCATGCTAAACCAAGCTCAGCTTTGGAGAAGGAATGTGGAGATGCTCTTGAGAAACTGGCTGAACAGAAGAAGTCGAACTAGTATGGGTTCCGGGTCACAGGGGGGTGCCCGGGAACGAGGTGACCGACGAGCTGGCTAGAATTGGATCCGCGACACCGTTCTGGGGACCGGAGCCTGCACTGGGCATAACAAGAAGCCAAACTTCGTCTGCCCTCAACAAATGGGCGGACGAGGCACTAGAAGGGTACTGGAGGCGTATAGACGGCTGCAGGCAATCGAGAGACCTGGTGGCCGGTCCAAACAAGCCAAAGACGGCTTGGTTACTTGGCAGGGATCGCCAAGTCCTGCACCTTCTTATAGGGCTACTGACAGGGCACAACAGGATACGCAGACACGTATCACTCATAGGTGTAGAAGATAGTCCCACTTGCCGTGAATGCGGAGAAGATGAGGAGACATCACTTCACTTTCTCGGAGAGTGTGAGGAATAGATAAACTACAACAGGAAGATTTTCTCGAGTTAGATTGAACGGACATCCTGGCCTTCATCAGAAAGACGGGAAGGTTCGAAAAGGAGCAGGGGTTGGGAAAAAGGGCCCATGGGGGCCTACTTGCTTGGCTACAGCCTCCCCACAATACTACTACTACTACTACATTGGATCTTGCTAGATAAGTCTAGAGAATTCATTATTCCGGATTTTTTGGGATTTTTTCTCCTCGTTTCTATAAAATAAAAATATGAATATTATTTCAATATAAGTGTAGTAAGGACAAATCAGATGATTTGCCATAAAATGTCACAGCGTTCAAATAATTTTCCTATCAGAGCGCCTAAAAGAAAAATTCACTAGCTTGTCAATGACAATTTGTATTGAAAGAAGGTTGGGAGGAGAGAAATAAAGGTATATAGAAAAAATATTAGATTTCCACTTATAGCTTCGGACGTTTCGGGACCGAATCTGCTCCCGTTTTCAACATAAAAAATGATTATTTGAATAGCAAATTCGTATCTGTCTTGAAACTTCTCAGTTCTCAGTGGCAATTGGTGACGTTGGCAATCAAATGAGTTACAGGGTGTTTTCAATAATTAATCTTGAATTTCCCATTTTCATTTTCAGATTTCATTAGTGAATACCATGTTCTGTTTATGTCTACTGAACAAGAAGCAGTGCTATTGTCTGCGTAAGTCTAGAGAATCCTACTAAAATCACATGAATTACGATTCATATAAGAAATGTACTTTGCTTGACAGAACGTGCTCACGGTGTTCGTTGTTTGGCAGGAAAATAGCTAATTATACACAAAATGGGTAGGTTTATTCAAACAACCGCTAAAATAACATAAGAAACGGTTCAAACACATCATTCAAGAACTCACTCTTGATATATTACCTAAAAAAACACCTGTCGGGTCTGCAACTAAATAGAAAAAAAATTTATCAGGATCAAAAGTGACACTTTGTTTGACAAGCGAGCGAGAGCAAAATTTGTGAGTCAAACAAAGTCACTTTCGATCGGAATGAAACATACTATTTTTCCTGCAACCGAAAGAATTAGAGAATTAACTCAAATAGATATGTGCGAAGTAACCACCAATTGCACGGCATATGTATGGAATGCAACAAATAATCCGTGTGGTGAGGATATTCTATCTGCATTAACAGCAGGTTTATACAATTTTCAAGGATGTAGTTTCAATATAAATACAACCAAAGAGTGACATATCTGTGTATGGACCAGGTGCTCTGATAGCAAACACAGCGCCAGTACCAGGTATTGGAAAAAGACGTGGAAAATGTTAGGTTAGTGAGCATATTAACAATAATAAGATATATTTATATCTCCAGCATGGATTTGATATGCCAAATCTGTCAAAAGTTCGACTCCAGCTCCTAGGAACTGAATGTATCGCCTAGCAACATACTTATTTTTATGTCAGTAATAGAAACGTCAATTCAAGAGCTAATTTTGGTATGAAAATGGACGACTTTCGGCCGGTTGCAGAAAAACAGTATCTATTATTTTCTCAATCAGAGTTAGCAACTCCAAGGCTGTTATTTACCGTAGTTGGATGATTTATCTAATTGAAAACAATGTTTCTGATGTGATGGCTTCTCAGCAGCAGAATGGTTCGGCTGAACGCGAAACTCAAAAGCAAAAAAGTATGGCCCGGGAAAAACGGAAAAACGACTCGTCGCTCGAACCGTGATGAATTGAAGACATGCACTTTTATGAGGAGTGGCGTGTTAAAGAGTATTGTCTAATCCATCATAGTCTTGTAGAAAACATAAAGCACTATATATACATTAAAAAAAACTACGGGTGTTAACTGAACGCTCCGTCACAACACCAATTAGCCAACGATCATACGAGCTATCTTTAAACACATGAAAGTTCTGTGTGGGCTTTGTCACTGATGTCACTGATTCACTCACTCACTGAAAAGCAATATTGAATCGTTCAGAATTATGACACTTCGAAGTGACTGATGAATGTGACATTCACGTAAACTTGTAATAGTTGATCCGGTTCTGGATTGTAGAATGGTGGAGATAGAGGTTATCTCCTCAAGCATACATCAGGGTGTGATATTAACTATATTCCATTCGTTTATCTTCAGTGTACCCGGATGTATACCGATTCTGAGGCTTTCCGAATACCCTTTAAACATTCTAGTTGAATGAAATCATGTTTGCCCTTTCGTAACTAACGTATGCCGTTTCGTCCCTCCAAAGCAGAGACTAGTCTATCAACCCATTCAATCCCACATAAGACTGAAGTGAAACTACTGACTAGTATTTGACGAGTTGAATTCTGAAATTGACAGGTACTATGGTTGACAGACACTTGAGAATGGCTTGTTCACAGACTTCATTGGGAGTTTTTTTCTACAAACGTCAAAAAATGACAAGGTTCGCGCATTGATAACAAATTGCGAAGTGACACTTTTTTTCAGTTTCCTACGCTACCATGATACCTTGCACAAAACAATGCGCGAAGTAAAACAGTGCGCGAAGTACCTACTTCGCGCATTTTTATGTAAAATATATGATTCTCAATCGGGCAATCATCCACGAAATCATTTATTTCTGTGTGTTCAACAATAACTTTGTTTTATCTCTTGGAGCGTACAAAAGGAAATTCCAATTATGTTGGTGGAACATCGTGCGTACCTAGGGAGGATAGGGGGAGGCCTTTTTCAGCCAGTTCATCATTATTTTTTATATCAAGCATATTTTTACTTTAGAACTTTCGTAGAAAGAATTTTGTTTGCAACTCGAGCGCGAAATACTTTGGTCTTCTCGACTGATCTCGATCACCAAAGTAGCATTTCGCGCTCTAAATACAAAAATAACTATTTACTTCATGGTATCTGGAGGTGTTTGGAGATGAGTATACTTAAAGTATCCGCACCTACTGACTATAGGTGAGCAAACTTCAGCACATCTTGAAAAGTTGTTGAATTTTTATTTTTCTCAAGAATCTGGTGAACAGTTGGTTATAGGTGAGTAATACCTGTATGGAAAAGTAATTCCGACTCGATTCGTTTTTATCGTATCTTTCGTATAGGTGGTTTTTGCAAAATTTCTCCTTTGAAATTGTAATTTCATCAGCTAGGATATGCACAATGAGAAAGTCGTATCGTTTTTGGGGCGTATTTAGTCAGAATTCATCATTGAGGCAACATTCATGCATGACTTCAAGAGCAGGTAGATTTAACACGAAGGCGGGGCATTACAGATGTGCCATTAACAAGTGGATCTTGGTAATGACTGTAACCTACCTATGACACCTGCAGAACTCTAAGAGAATATTGTGGATCTCTTTTTCCAAATGTGAGACATAAAGGGGGTCCTGAGATAAAACCGACAAAACTTATGAGGTTTTACGGATTGCCAATATGATTGCAAAATGCCATATACAAATGTCCAGAACCGCTTCGTTACTGACATACAAAGTGATTAATGGATTTTGACAAAAAATTCAATACGCTATAATAAATACAGAAATTACCCGATTGAATTCAGAATTTGTACATGAATTAAACTGAAAGGCTGCATCAAGTAAACCTTTGATTGGAACCAATATCAGGACCAGAATATTATTTTTCAAATTTTCAGTTATTGTGAGCATAACTCACCCTCTATGATGATGATCAAGAATCTGAGCTCAGATAAAGAATCTATATATACGGATAAAATACTCAAAAGAACTTGTTAAATCAGTTTCTGGCACTATTTCAGTTATTCCGTGATAAATCAATATTTCAATTTTCATTTGTATATGGCATTTTGCAATAATAATGGTAGTCCCTATGAGCCCATGAGTTTTGTCGATTTCATCTCTATACACCCTGTATAGCGAACATCGATAAAATCTTGACATGGTTCGAAAATCATCTCCTATTCCCTAAAGTGAACGACATTATCTAAATAGCTACTGTACTTGTGTGAGATGCAACAATAACGTGATGTAATGCTGCCAAAATTATTGTCGAAAAAGTGATAGTCAGAATGATAGAAAAATCATTTTCAGGCATCGAGTTATCGCTTTAGATTGTGGCAGTTTTACCCGTCAAGATAATCAATTAAAATTCAAGTTCAACCTACCGAACTTTTTTATCGTTGTGGACGGAGGATTCCTCATACACAAAGTGATCTGGCCAGAAGGACCCTGATGAACTATATCCTCAAATACTAAGCAGGAAGTAGCGAATAGAGACGACGGTATCGAGCAATGGGGATTACTAAGTCACTGTCAAACAAGATCAACTTCCCTCTAATGAGCAGAACAAACGCAGATTCTTTGCAGTACTGTCATCAAAGCTCCATGACAGTGGAATTGAGACTCTATAATAATTCGCAAGATTCACGAAGTGGGCGACATCTAGGTTACATCGAACTTCGAACTGGGGAAAACAAACTGTTGTCTATGGATGAAGTGCATAGACTACATTACATTTAGCTTGCTGTAGCTGTAGTCAAACTTGTCAATAACATAAGGTGTTGGCACTGTTGGTAGTGATGATGGTGGAGTTGGTTAATTTTTTCACATTATTACATTTTTGTATGAAAGGGTGAAAAATTGGAGATAGTTCAATCAATTCGAACTAATTATGACGAGCAAATCAATTGACATATAAAAGAACAGCTACAACATGTTTACAATACCCAGATTGTCCTGCTTTGCATGAACAAATACAAATCCATTTTTATACAGGAGTTCATCTGGACCCCAACTTCAATTTTACTTCATGTGGGGAAGATTTCATCACCGAAGTTTGTAGACAAAGTACAAAAATGTGCCTTTTGTTGGAGTCTTCTGCCTCACACAAAATCACATGATTAGCACGGAGAACTGCTTCTCCTTCCACTACTGGTCGGCTTTTTCCATCTGAATAGAGCAAAATGCCAAAAGAACATCTACAACAGGCATTATTAGCGTTCGATCGAATAGTGACAATTAATGTCAAGAAATAGAAAAACATCACTCTTATCAGTACACAGTACACAAGCTAATGGCACTAATGGGATTGAGTCAATTGAGTGAGGATTGAGTTTGTTTTCCCCCAGTTTTGACGTGGTCTTGACATGGAACGATGAAAACCGAGCGCCACCTGGTAACATTGATTCCCGCGAATAGGCCCCTGGTCATGACAAGCGTCTAGCCATATCGACAAATCTTTGGAATGTCATCAAGGTCATCAGAAGATCATAATGTAATATGAGGAAGAAAAAGATCGTTTATGAATGAATATGGAGACTACTTTGAACCTAACTCGGCCTATTTTCTTCTTCCTGAAAAGTATATTTTTCGAGAAATTACTTGAGTGAAAATTATATAAAAAAATGACGCCACGCGGGGTTGAACCCGAGCCACCGCAGTGAAAGTAGAATATACTTAAAAAATTCTCAACAATAAATGTGAAGACAAGCATAGGGTATATATAGAAAGATAGATATCAACAAATAATGTATAAATCAATGAAACTCTGTAACACACAGAGCCGGCTGGTATTAGCTAAGAGGGTTGATGTTAGTACGATTTATCTGTGTCAATGAGACCAATTTCCTAGGGCTGTACCCTTTAGAGAGGTAATTTCTGAGTATACCCAGACGGGTCAGAGTTGATTGCTAGCATTGGATTTTTGTGTGGTATTGATGAGTAATGCAGGAATAGTAAAATGGAATCCTGCTAATGATTTCTGTCGCTTTGGGCTCTGCGAAATCTGAGTATCCACACATGCACCATCCAGACTCAAACTCTAGGCTTATAGCCATTAGACTGGGACTATATATGTACACCCAGATCTCGCATTCCTTAGCGGGAAAAGAAATAGGCGTGGGTGACGTCACTGGACCTCGATATTTCGAAGATTCGCTGGTAAAGCTAGACGCTTGTCTGATCATGCAGACTCGTTGATTATTTTGACAGCCATTGAGTAATACAAAAAATATAACGTTGCTGTCATTGGAGAAGACGTCGACCTGGCGGAGCTCACCAACAGGCCATGAGACTTTAGTGGAACTTAACCATGGGAAAGTAAATGCTAGCATTGATTCCTCACCAAGACTGAGGAACATTTTGTTCATACATATTCTTAGTGGATGCGGTAAAACTTCAGCAATTTTCCAAGAAAATGAAATGGAAATTCATTGAAATCGCTAAGAATACACAATGACATTCAAGACTGCAGCTGCTGCTGCTGCTCCTGTTGACGTCTTCTCCAGGCTCTCTGCTTCTCATGAGGCAGTATAAGAGTCGCGAAAAAAAGATAGTATGGTACGCCAATCTTAATCTCCACCTTGTGCAATACTTTATCAAAACCAACGCCAACGTGAAGCCAGACATTTCTGCTTTTCTACCAACAGAGGGGGTCGCTGAGCAACATTGTACCAGAGTTTATCCCCAGGTATCGCCGTGGTTGGAAAATGATTTAGTACCACTATGATGGTAGAAGCGCGGGCAGAATCAATAGGTTTTCCTGGTAACTAGTAGAAAACTTGCAGCTTCTGACGAAGTATTTGAATGTTTTCATAGATGTGGTTGTGATGGAAGGCAATCTCCTATCAGTTGCTCCACCATTTGGCGTAACTGACAGCCATGGCGAATACTTGAATGATGTTTCGCTCTTGTATGATGAAAGAGTAGGGTGATGCGGAACTCCTTCATTCAGGTCGTCGGGGGAATTTTTGCGAAAAAAGTCAGCCCTGAACTAACTCCAGTACCTCCAAAAGTTTCAAAAAAAATCCAATACCTACCTCCTCTTCCTATCCTCCCTAGGTACGCACGATGTTCCACGAAAATTATTGGAATCTTCTTTCGTGCGCGCCAAGAAATAAAAAAAACCTATACATATAAGATATTGCGTTCAAATCTTGTATGAGGATAATATTAGCTATGCGTGAATCATTTAGGCTAGTCAAACAAATTGCCTCATAGTTGTTTTTGAAATTTTGACACATTCAACAAACAAAAGTTGGCTCGTCCACATTTTCAAAGAGAGCTAGCACGTTACGATATTATGAAATTTTTGTTTTTGAAAATTGGTCGACAGGTTTAGAATTAGGAAGCTGTTGCTGGTTGAAATCACACACACTGTGTATATATGTGTTTCAAATAAAATACGATTTTTACAGGTAATTCATTGATAACTATATGAAGGATGAAAGAAATCAATAAGAACTATTTTGTAGGAAATTGTATTGAACTATCCCTCACCTACATAATCAATCGTTCACTAAATATTGGTGAAACATATGTGCTATGCTCTGAACTTAGCTCACACAGACAAACTTTTGTTATAGTTATCTCCAAACAAAGTTTCGAAATTGAAGATTCTGTTCAGGAAAATGTATTAGTATTAGAAAGCTATCCGTTAATTGGAACAGGGTTACATACATACAAGTGGAAATATCAATCATTCGCCAGATTTAAATTTTATAATGTATTTTCCTAGTTTCATTGACGCTCATGACCAATCGAATCAAATTAAGTGATTTCACTAATGCAATCATCACCGAATTTTACATTCTGGCTTTTAAACATATTCGGAAAGTATATAAGCGATTATTTCATATATCATTTATCAATTATAGATACTATTACAAATAATTAGAAATTAATTGAAAGTTATTCCTGAACTATCCGTATGAATCTGATCAGGTACAATGTTGATCGATGTAAAGATCGAGACTGTTGAGGCATAAGATTCCTCATTCATTTTCATTTTCATATAAAAGTCTGCATGAAAATCTTTTTCGAAATGCGTATCATCAACAACAACAACATCAAACATTCATCAAATACTATCGGTACAAGAGCACAGATAACTTTCTTCCTTGCGAGATTGAATGGGTCAAATTTGTAACTTGTAACTTTAGTATTTCTCACCAGCTCTAGACCAGGAGGTGGCGCTGCTTCATAGTGCCTCACGGAGGCGATTCGATGATCTGGCGGCATCAAGTTGGCTATTTCGCTCATTTCAGATCCAAATCATGCCACACTGAAGTGCAGATATCCCTGGAAAAAAGAAACGGTCTCATTTGTCGATATTCGACAGACATAGATATTGTTACTGATTTCACTCTTTTGATCGAATCTGTCAGCGAACAACACGAAGGTTTTTTATTTCAGTTACCTCAGAGATAATAAAGAGTTACTGAGGACAATAGCTCCTTTGGAAATAACAGTTTTATCTCTGAAAGCATGAAAGTGAAAATTAAAATATCAGATATAATTTGTTTGTTTATCTCCGTGTCTATAACAAAAGAAGTTCCTTTCAATATCCGTTTCATTTCTATCAATCTTATAAAACCTGTTTGATACTCCATATCTGTCGTATCCATATTGATCTCGATTTCGATCTGTGTTTTTCGAAATCTCGTTTCGCTCGTCCCGCAAAATCCCATCATCACACAAATTGAAACGTACATACTTACATTCATTTTCGGTGGTCTCACACTACATTCTCCGAACACTAAGACTCACAGTATTCAATGTTATTGATAACTCAATGCCAAGTTAATTTCAAGCTAATGTTAAGTTGATGTCAAGTAATGTTGAGGTAATATTAAGCCATGGTTGAGTTAATATCAACTTAATGTTGATTCAATTTTGATTCAATCTTGAGTTACAATTATGTTAATGTAGAGTTTATGTTAATTTAATGTGAATTTAATGTTTAATTATTGTTGAAATGATGAGTTGATGTTGAGTTCATTTTAGGTTAATGTTAAGTTGGAGTGAATTCAAGGTCAATTCAATGTCTATTTAGTTTTGACTAATTGTCAATTCAATGTTGATTGATGATCAATGTTGATAATCAGTAATAAAAAAAAAATATAATAATAATTTCACCTCCATGTGATCGAATATGATTAGGAAAATGATACCTACTCAGGTCTCATAAACACATCTTATGCATTCATTCCGTTTCCTCACTCGCCGCTCTGCGGCTCGTACTAAACGTCAACTCGCGCCAGATATGTCACTTTTCACACTAGTTATGTGATATACTTATTCTTCTTATTTTTTTTATTCAGTTATAGTTTTGTTTCTGTACAATTAGCGTTACTTCTTACATTATCTATAGTTGATGGGTGTATACCTGTTGGATATATATATCTATGATACATGTAAGCAATTTTCAGTGTTTTGCTTCATGAGAAAAACATGAGGAATCTCTAGCTGTAGCGTTTGATATATCAGAGGCATCCGACCGTGTTTGACACCAAGGACTCCTCCATACAGCTTAGCACCCCAGCTATGTCACCTTTTATCGAGTTATCTTTCAGGCAGATCGCTTCATGTGATGGTGGACGGAGTATCGTCTGATACCATTGTCATCATTATGCCGCGTTCCACAAGGATCAATTTTGGCATCAACATTGTTCCTACTTCATATCAATGATCTGTTGAGAACAACCGAGGGAACAACCATTTGCCGGATCCACAGCTACTGCGTTCTCTTCCAGAATTCCTATTTCTTGTCAGGAAACTGAGAACTTGCTGTCAACGAAGATCCTGTCAAATTTACAGCCTGGAAACCAACAATCTAGTTGAATTCAACGCCATCAAAACTCGAGCCTGCGTTTTCTCTAGAAAGGCGGAACACAGTATGCCGTATATAACAATGTCGGTTACCATCATTTCCTCCAAGTCCACATCTTGGAAGAATCATTCGATCCATCGCAAATACTGCTTCACAAAAACCCGGATTTTTGTTCTGTACCAAATCCTACTTTTCAACTCAACAGCTTCTCATGATCTACAAAGCACTGATACTGCCAGTTTGATGATACTGTTCTCACAAATGGGGTTTGGCACCCAAACATATGCTGATGCTCTTATAGTCCAAGTCCACATCTTGGAAGAATCATTCGATCCATCGCAATTCTGCTTCACAGAAACCCGGATTTTTGTTCTGTACCAAATCCTACTTTACAACTCAACAGCTTCTCATGATCTACAAAGCACTGATACTGCCAGTTTGATGATACTGTTCTCACAAATGGGGTATGGCACCCAAACATATGCTGATACTCTTATATTCCATCCAGAGAAGAGCAATTCGTCTGGTGGGTGATGCCACACTCACGAGTTATTTTACCTCATTATATGACCGGAGAAAAGTCGGCAACCTTTCACTTTGTTCCTCAGAAATCTCTGTTATCATTCCAGCACTAGCAATACCAGTTAGACGAGGTCGACAAGCGCAGTCAGCACATCCTTTCGTTGTCAACCTTGAGACATGTCGAAACACACTTCACCAACACTCGTTCGTCTGTAGAACGGCAAAGCTATGGCATTTTTCGCGAATGAGAGTATTCTCTACAACTTATAACCTCCAAAAGTTAAAATAAAATCCAAATATCTACCTCCTCTTCCTATTTTCCTTAGGTGCGCACGATGTTCTTCGATCATTATAGGAATTTCCTTTCGTTTTCTCCAAGATAAAAAAAAGATCGAGCAGCGCGATGAAAGCTAGGATGATGATATTCGAGTTTCGAATGATACTATAGTTCACATAAATTATATACATCACATCCTGAACAATTTCAAGAAGAGACCAATACTGCTGCTAAAAGATAATAGTATATTATGTAACAAGTGTTATAAACGTCCTTTTAGTAACGTGTATTTTAAGCACGAGCGGAGCAGAGCGTAGCGAGTGTTTAATAAACGAGTGTCTAGAAAAGTTTATAAACGCGTTACATACTATGATTTTTCTACGAACTCCGAAAATTACATTGACATACCTGCTATTCCTGCTAACCTAAAAATCAATTCGAAAGGAATGAGAATTGAGAACATAATACATGCAACTGCATGCAACCAGCGAGACACGACGTATAAGTGATATCGGTTGTAGATGTGTCCAGTCCATTGCTTACTAACCTTTGTTTCACGTTTATTGTCATGCTTAGCGCAAAATAAATAAATTGTTCTCAAAGATGGATGCTTCATTTTGACACTTCTTGGAGATATGCAAGTACTAGAACATTCTCTTCGATTTCACTTTCGTCTACTTTCCGCATATATTTTTAATGAAGAATTCTGATACAAACGAATATTGTTCGAATAATTCTGATACAAAATTTGAAAATAACAGTTGACAGTTAATACAATGAATAGGCCAGACATGTCTCAAATTACCGAAGCTGTGTTTAATGAACTGCGTTGCCATGGTAATGTGTTTAAGAAATCTTGTTGCCATGGTAACGTGTTTAATATTTCGGATAAATCACAGATCCACAATCCGTGATTAATCGATCATTTAGCGTGGTACCTATCTGTACGCTAATAGTATATTATGTAACAAGTGTTATAAACGTCCTTTTAGTAACGAGTAGGTTAAGCACGAGCGGAGCAGAGCGGAGCGAGTGTTCAATAAACGAGTGTCTAGAACAGTTTATAAACGCGTTACATACTATGATTTTTCTACGAACTCCAAATATTACATTAATTAACATACCTGCTATTCCTGCTAACCTACAAAATAATTCGAAAGGAATGGGAATTGAGAACATAATACATACAACTGCATGCAACCAGCGAGACACGTATGTGATATTGGTTGTATATCTGTCCAGTCCATTGCTTACTAACCTTTGTTTCACGTTTATTGTCATGCTTAGCGCTGAATAAATAAATTGTTCTCAAAGATGGATGCTTCATTTTAACACTTCTTGGAGGTATGTAAGTACCTGAACATTCTCTTCGATTTCACTCTCGTCTACTTTTCGCATATATTTTTAATGAAGAATTCCGATACAAACGAATATTGTTTGAATAATTCTGATACAAAATATGAAAATAACAGTTAACAGTTAATACAATTGACAGGCCAGACATGTCTCGAATTACTGAAGCTGTGTTTAATGAACTGCGTTGCCATGGTGATGTGTTTAAGAAATCGTGTTGCCATGGTAACGTGATTAATATTTTGAATAAATCACAGATCGACAATCCGTGATTAATCGATCATTTAGCGTGGTACATATCCGTACGATACATGCCATTTTAGTTATGTGAGTAGAAAAATGCCATTTTAGTTATGTGAGTAGAGAAATAGATTTTTTTTATGCGTTGATAGATTCTGCTTACCAACCCAGGTTTGTTGATATATTGTCAGTACGTATATTGAAGATTACATGTACAGGGTTGTATAGGTCGATCACTGCGACCTAGAAGATATGTAGTGATGACTCTTCCCTAGCCCTTGATTTTTTCTCTACAGTTACCTGGCATCGAGTGTGTATCGTATAAAAAGTGTCGTTTTGTCATTACAACTTCTAGGGCACCAAAACTCTGGGAAGTTATATCATCATAACCCGCATATGAGTTTGATTCGAGAAATATACCTCAAGAAGCTGCATAATCATTGAGGTAATCATAAATTCATTTACAAAATTCTACATATTATCTGGCTGGTCAGTATTTGTATCATCAGCTACCCTATCTACCGAAGGATAACCACTTTTACGAAAAAGCCCTGCTCTGTTTGTCGCCGCGAAATGGATGCTATGCAGAAGTCGAGTAGGTGTTCCCTCTGTTTTTGCGTCCATGAGGTGTTCAGTATGCTCTGTACAGGCACATAGACAGTGTGTTAGCTTCAGTGCAAAGGATATGAATAATAAGCGTTATTGGACCTGCGAAACTTGTAATGAGAAACGAAACTTGTCGAGTGGTTCCTCAAGCCGAACTACCTGAAGCAAATTTGACGTGAATACCACTTGTTGGATATATCGAAACTCGAAAACCTGATAAATGTGAGTAGTTCATCAATTCCTGACTTTCAAAAGTTTTTCCTGATAGAAAACTCCGATAAACATTATTTCAACCCTATAGACTTCAATATTTTTCAACCTTCTGTTTATGATATGAAATTTGGATGACTTATTTATCTGTTGAATTGTTGGATGTTTACCTGGTCATAACTGTTTTGTTATTGGATATTTTCTAGTCAAATAGTCAGTTAT